GCCCCGGGGGGCTGGGAGGGGGGCACCCGGAGCGCAGGCCGCGCGGCCTCATTCCCTGACCCCCGTCCCGCAGCCCCAGGGGACCGGCGGTCCGCTCCTGTTTCCTTATCTCAGGCGGGCATTGGGCCCGGGGTGCACCGCAGCAAGTCAGGCGCGGGCTTGCCAGAGTGCTTGACCTGAAGGTCTAGAGGAAGGACCCGTGCACCCCTCCTCCTCTTCCATCCCAAATTGTCAGACGTGACCTTATGAAACGGGAATCTTACTTAGACATACAAAATGGAAACCAGGCAATTTCTGGCCTTTCGTAAAGACGGAGACAATAGTATTAATTGCAAACTTTCTATGAGAACTTTATATGGTATAGTACTAAGCACGTCAGTCATTTTTGCAGAATAATTGACTCTTAAAGGAGAGTGTAGACTCCAAAGAGATTGTTTTGCCATTTATTACACACCCTATTTCTTATCAAATGCTTAGTGTTGTGTGGTGAGACAGATTTAAACAATGTTTTCCAACCTGGCCAACGCCAAATAATTTTTGCTCCTGCTTATATGGGAGGAGAAGAAAGTACTCTTGCAGTGGGTGTGGTTTAGTTATGAATTTCTGTGCCAAATCCCAGTAGCATTGCTTTAGTCTTTAGGTATCTCCCTCGGAAAGTTGAATTTCATTCAGTTGCAAGAGAATTGGTGTGTCAAACTTAATTTCACATTCCTTCTCACTTTTCATTTCCTTTCCACTTTTTTTTAAAATGACAATTTAAATGTTTACTGCATGCCAAGTATTGTACTGAGGCCTCAGTGTAGATTCTCTCTCTATCCTCATTCTGACCCCAAGTAGCTATAAACAATCTACAGATGAGTTTTATGGCTGTTATGTAATCTGCTCAAGGTCACAATGCTATTAATTGTGGAACCAAACCCAGCTATAACATGAAAACCTATGGTCTTTATTGCTAGGCAATACTTCTTGTTCCCTTTTGTAAAAATATTAATATTTTCAAAGGTAGAAATTGTGGAGTTATACAAAATTTGAAAATTAAAAATAATTACAACCAAACATGAGGTTTGCACTGAGTGAGTCCTGTCTTATTCAGTTGTATGTTCTAAAAAGTTTCTAAATGGTAATTAATGCCCATCTGTGGCATAATTGTAATCTAAAACTTTTTGCGCACCTCATAATAGTATTAAGAGATTCTTTTTTTGAAAATTGGGATCTCTGTTTCAGAGAACAATGTGTGCAAGTTCCTTTCATGAAAAATATTTAAATCACACCTTTCAAACTTGGAAAGGACAAATGAGTTAGATTTGAATCATTACAATTCTGAAAGTGCAGTTACATGTTTATTTTTTTCTTGCAACTGATATTTCTTGATCCAGGCTTGTTGAAGGAACAGTTTGGGGAAGTTTGCAATAATCTTTTTTAAATTCCAAATGTAAAACCCATTTCTCACTAATTAAACAATATCCCAAGTTTGATTTTGGCTTGCTTTAGCAACCCAGAAACATGTAGACTGATTTATTTCATCAAATACATGCAGTTCTTAACTTTAAATAAACTATAGAAAATTAAAAGCACAACCACATTAAATATTTAACTTTTTATTTGAGCAGGTCTGGTGTGGTTACCTTTTCATTTGGGGAAACCGTAATAGTTGTAGGTGTGGATTTTTCATATTGACCTTTGCAGCTGAATTTACTGTGTTCTGTGCAGAATGGCTGTTGATGGTGGGTGTGGGGACACTGGAGACTGGGAAGGTCGCTGGAACCATGTAAAGAAGTTCCTCGAGCGATCTGGACCCTTCACACACCCTGATTTCGAACCCAGCACTGAAGTGAGAAACGTTTACTTTTAAATAACTCCTCTAATAGTTTTATATTTCAAAAATGATAAAATGCTTTCTTTTCATTTTCTCTTATAAAAATACTAATACAATTGTATATATTATCTTGAAATTTTAAATTGAATATTTGCAGCTGATTTTATTAGTCATTTTCACATTTCTCATGAAATATGTTGAAATTTTTTGAGTTAAATTATCTCATTTAAAATTCTAAGGTATATTTCACTTTAAATTCCAGTTTAAAATGACTTCTGACATTCTCCTTTTTAGTCTTACTATGAGAAATTAATTTTGATAGGAATATAGATGTGCTTGTTTAAATTTTGAAATTTAGTTAAATGAGCACCTTAGGATTGAATGTAACTAATTGCATGTTAAAAATTACATGATTGCTGTATAATAGAGGAATAGAATTTTGGGCTGATAGTGTCTGACTTAAAGCAAATGTTCAATTAGATAAAACTTGTTTTTTATTACAAGGTAGAAAAAAGTATTCTTTATAGTAAATTTTTATGTTTTGTGTTTATAAAGAGATATTTTGAAATGGAAATATTGTGCTACTCCAAAAATTAAGATGCAGATGCTTGGGTTTGACCCAGTGTCTCATCTAAATAACTTTTCTTTCCTTTAATTTTGGACAGAATTGACAGTATTCTGCCTTTCTTTGGATCTACCATATTTTCTTGTGCTTCTGGTGTTTTTTTTTTTTTTTGGCCTGATAATTTAAGATAGTACTATTAAGTAATCATTTCAAATTATATTTCTGTTGATATACATTTTCTAAGAATTTATGTTTTTTTCTTCCTGCAGTTTCATGTTTTGTTTCACTTACTCTAAAAGAATAATAACTAATTTTTTTTTAAAGAACCTTAAACATCTTGTGCAGTGCTTGATTCTCTGTTCTTAAGATTTCCACACTTTTCTATTTTTAGGAAGTCAGTTAAATAATGAATTTGATGCTTTTCATCCCCTTTCAAAGTTAAAAAAAAAAGATAACTCTTAACTAGGCATAGTTTTCTGGTTAGAAATGGCTTTTTAATTTTATACAATAGTCAATTTAAAAACATTAAAATTGAAATGCTCGGAAATTATTAGGGTTATTATAGAATTTCTGGTTCTACCTTGTCTATAAATTTAAAAGAGTTTATTAAATAGAAAGTCTGCTCTTTATCCTAATTTGCATTTTTCATGGAAAGAGCAGAAACTATTTTATGGCTTGTATTGATGGTGCTTATGGTTTTTATCAACTAGATTTTAATATGCCTTTTTATTCTTTACAGTCTCTCCAGTTTTTGTTAGATACGTGTAAAGTTCTAGTCATTGGAGCTGGTGGCTTGGGATGTGAGCTCCTGAAAAATCTGGTAATGGTATATAAAATATTTTTTTCTCCTTTTTGATAATTTTCCTTTCTGTCATACTAGAAAAATTTCTTCATTATGATTGTTAACCTTTTGTCCTGAGCCTTTGTTAGATAAGTTTAAATAATTAAAATGATGATAGCAACTTTGGAACTTTTTAAATTCTAAAGTTCTCAACTATAATGTCTTTAATAGAAATTCTTGTTCTTTGCTCTTTGTTAAAGAAATCTTTGTGCTTCCTCTTGATAAGCACTCATTAATTTCAGTGACATAAATAACAAAATTGATAATTCATATATTAACATGTAATTTCAAAGAATTTGTTATTTTTTTTTTTTTCCCTAAGATGACCCACTTAGGTGGCTAGGACATTGCCTCATTTTATGTAGAGGGAGACACTGAGGTTCAGAGAGATTAAATGGCTTGCCCAAATTTTTCTGGATTATAGTGATGAGCCTGGGATCTCATCCAACTCATCAGTTCGTAGTCAGGTGTTCTTTCCACTGAACAATAGGTCATTGCATGACCTAATCAGACTAATATTTGATAACAATATGATAATAGACCTATAAAATTTGGGAAAGCTAAACCTTTTTTTTTAATCAATTTGTTTTTAATGAATATCATTTTAAGAGAGAGTCACTGTTTAGTGAAACTATTTTATATACTGGTTGAAATCCATAATTTGTGATTTAATTAATTGGTTTCATTGATTTCTGATAACCACAAAGTAGCTTTACAAAAAAAAAAGTTTATTTAACAAAAATGGATAGGAAGAGAATTGATTTAGAGCTGACGTATGCCAGGCTTCTCATTAGTGTATAGAAAAGTAGAAATGCTAAAGTAGACTCCTTAGAAAGTGAAGCAAGTAAAGGAACCACATGAAGGACCTAAAAAGTCGACCCTGGGGCTAAAGTTTAAATATCAACAGCCACATTAATTTTGCTAGGAAATACTAACGTCACTCCTAGTGAAACTATAAACACTTAATACACTCATGATACTTAGTGCTGTGCTGGGTTCTGTGGTGATTATAGATCAGCATGATCTGTCTTTAATGAATTTGAAGTTTCATTGGGGAGAGAACTCTCATATAATATAAATAGTAGTGTGTGTGATATATTCTGTGGGGATGCCAAAATGATAATATCTTATTAGACATAAATACTGTAGCGGTATGTGATCCAAGGAGTTCTAGGAGGGAAGGATGGGCAGTGGTTTTGGTAGGCATCCTATGCAGAAATGCTTAACTTTTTCCATTTGAAGCTGTTATTTGTAAATGTGATGTATATTAATGTAAAGTAATTGGGGATTAGATCTGTGGAGTAGTCATCTTTAGGAGTGGCCATGTTATTTATTGCATTGTAATAACCTTACACAAAAGAAGAAAACTAAGGATTTTTGCTTTTACCACTGTTATTTGGCTTATTTCAGACGTAAGTACATAAGCAATATACATCTTTTTCAACATTAATCGTAAGACCCCTGGCCCCCCTCCAAGGCTCACAGTAAAAAAAGAGTATGTCATTAATATTATTGATTGATCAGATATTTATTGAGTCTCCCTCCCCATGTGCCAGGCACTATTTTAGGTGCTAAAGATACAGCATTGAACAATACAGACAGGTGTTTGTGGGCTTACATAATAGTGGAAGGAAAAAGATAAGTAAAATATATAATATGTTGGATGGTAATAAATGTTTTGGAGAAAAGAAAGATGGTGGGAAGGGAAAGGGATTATAAAGCTATTTGAGCAAAAGTGAGCAAGAACAGTCTAGACAAGGAACAACAGATGCAGAAGCTGTGAAGTGGGAGCATGACTATTATGTTCCAGGAAGGTAAGGAGGTTATTACAGATAAAGCAGAAGTGGATAAGGGAGAGTATTTTCAGAGAGGATATCAGAGATAATAGGAGATGGAGGGGCTTGAAATGAATATCACAAAAGACTTTGAAGGTTACCGTAAGAACTTAGCATTTCACTCTGAGTCAGAAAGATTTAAGCAGAGATTTAAGCAGATGAGTTGACTTGATCTGCCTTTTAACTTGGATCTCTGTGGCTTTTATATTGAAAAAAGACCTAAAGGAAGAATAGAAGAGGAAGCTGAGAGGCTAGTTAAAAAGTTGCAGTCATCTAGGCAAGAGATGACAGTGCCTTGGAACAGGGTGGTAGAATTGGAGTAGAGAGAGGCAGTCAGATTATGGATATGTTTTGAAGATGAAGTCAACAAGATTTGCTAATATATTGGTTGTGGGACGAGCAAAAAAGAGTCAAGGATGACAACAAGATTTTTGTCCTGAGCACCTAGAAAGAAGTTTGTTAGCATTCATTAAAAAGAAGGAGACTTGGGGAAAGAACAGATTTGGTGGTGTTGGTGAGCAAGGATGGTTGAGTTTGGTTTTGGAAACTGTCGAATTTGAGATTTCTGTTGGATGATACTTTATCTTATAAGATTGTCTGAGATTACCAGAACTAAGCACAAGGGTACTCTAAGTTCTAGCCTGTAAAGTAGGAGGAAAACTGAGTGTGGTGAACTGGAAACCAATTCGTAAAAACTGTTCAAATTCTCATGAGTGTGGCAACCAAGTGAAGAACGTGTTTTAATGAATTGATCCACACAGTTTCAAATACTTCAGATGGGTAAGGTCAGAGAGACTGAGAATTGGTCATTGGAGGTAGCAACATGGAGTTCACTCGTGACCTTGACAAGTGCAGTTCGATGGAGTGGTAGGAATGAAAGCTTGTTCAGAGTAAGCACAAGAGAGGAGTATGAGAAAGCAAGTATGGACAACTCTTTTGAGGATACCTTGTTAGAAGGAGGGGCAGAAAAATGGGGAAATTATTGACAAGTGATTTAAATTGTTTACTTAAGTAAATTGACCAAGACTAGAAAAGCATAATTAATTAATGAGACTTAATTTTTTTTTAATCTTTTGCTTCTGCTGGTAAATTTGAGCAGTGGTTATACTGTTGGAATGCTTGGCATTATCATTGATACACAACAGTGTTTTGTTTTCCCTGTTTTGATTGCTCGTTTTTGACTCAATACTTTTAAGATATTCCTTTTACATTACATGTGCAGTGTACCTATATGTTTATAATATATATCTTATAATAGTTATTGCTGGATCATGGTATGGTGTTTTATAAACTAAGATAAAGTTTGTATAAACTGCTTTTAACAGTATTCTGAAGAATAGTATGTACAGTTAATTAATAAGACTAGTAAAATGAAAGAGTCTAGCAACAGCAAAGCAACAAACTTTACACATGTGTTTATGGGATTATAAAACAACTGTAGAAATTTTGAGTTGTTCTCTTTTGGTTTTAGACTATTTAAAACTAAGTAGTTACATATTTTTGACCTTTACAGGAACTATGAATTTCATATACCTTGTAAGACTAACCATCAAATTATGTGGAATTGCTTATTGAGAATTTGTAGACTTAGAACAACATTGGAAACAAATATTAAAATTTCAACTGTGAGGTAATTTCTGCTTAATTGGATTTTCTTTTTTTATTCTCACAGGCATTATCTGGTTTTAGACAGATTCATGTTATAGACATGGACACTATAGATGTTTCCAACCTAAATAGGCAGTTTTTATTTAGGTAAGTTTTAATATCTTAAAGAAATTTTCAAAAAGTTTATGTGATTTTGGGGTGACTATGGTCTGAAACTACAGAGTTCAGTTCTCCTTCTAGTGATTTCACAAGAGTACAATAGCTGGAATATTAGACCCTAATGAGATATATTGGTGAGGACTTATGAGCCAATATTTCAATGATGACGCTGGGACAGTGAAGTTGCGATGGTACAAAATGGGAAAGGAAATGAAGAGTTAAGGAGAGAAAACTCAGGAGCAACTGAAATGGAAGAAAGAGGGATAAATTACCTTAGACATACATAAAATAGAAAAATCATCTAGGAATGGTTTGTAAGAAATGATTTTAATAACTGAAAGTGGAACACGTGCAGCTCTGAGGAAAAGTTCATTAGTGAATTTTAGCATGTAACACTTAGGGGTTTGATTAGCTAGACAAAATTGTCTATTCATTAGTCAAAGAATTATAGATATGGAGAGATAATGGACTTTTTCCCTCTATCTAGTGGTTAGGGTACTAATAGGAAGCAATCAGTCCTGGTTATGCAGGATAAGGTTAGGTTAGGTTAGGTTAGCAGAAAAGATAAAATTAACTTAAAGGATAGGCATTAAACCTCTATCTTTGTGGAAGATCTTAAAGAGATTAAAGGGTTAAATTAAGTGAAGTTAATGAAATGTTTTTGCAATGTGAATCCTATGTTTAACTTTTCTTTATTTTTTTAACCCTTGAAATTTCCTTTCTCTATAGAAAAATTTTGGGGCCTTTGCCGGCCTTACAAATTTTGGTATATAAATGTTCTTTAAAACACCCTACTGAATTAATTGGTTATGGTAATGCCATACCCTTTAATTTTTGGCTAAAATAATGATTGAAGATCTTAATAATAGCTAACATGTATTGAGTGATTAGGATGTATTAGGTATTTTCTAAGAAAGCTCTATTACTTTATTTAATCTCAGGGCAACTCTCAAGGTAGATACTTGTTTTCAAGGTTAAAAATTAGACCAAGGTATCCTACAAGAATGATGTGTGTGAAAGCCCATTTTATTCAGGCTGCATTTTTTAGATGAAGTAATTTGATTCCCTAATCTTGGAATGGTAAATATACAGTCTCCATAGAAACAATCTAGTAGTTATTTTGTTTTGGGTCCACTGTAAAAAGCACATAAAATCTACAACTGAAAAGAATCATGAAAGTATACTTTATCCCTTTTACATACCTGATGAAGGGGTATGAAGAGCTCCATCCAGAGTAGTTGAATGCAATACTGAAATCAAGTGTCTTGATTTATAATAGAGCCTTTTCTATTGCAAGCTAGAACAAAGTTAGAATACAACTCTTGTCAGAAGTTTTGAATGAAAAAAGAACACTGCATTATTGCAGAAAAGAAAATAGACATGTTAAAGTATTTTTCCTTCAAATTGCACTTAAGTATTCCTAGTAAGCATATTGATTTTTTAAAAATTGTTTGTGCTTAATATATGAAAGAATACAAAGAGATAAGATTATAATAATTTTCTTCCAGGTGTTCATAGTCTGGTATGCTAGACCTGTGTGTATAACAAAAAATGTCATGAAAAAGTAGTAATGAAGCACTTACTAGCATATACAAGGAAGTGATTTCTGTGAGGAGAATGAGGAGATACTAGGAAAGAAAATACCATTTGCACTGAGATTGGAAGAGTGAATTCATGTTTTTTTTCCTATCTATTGCTACTTATTATCTAGGAGTGATCTTTTGAGGCCTTATATTTTTAGCTTCTCTAAAATACTGGTGACATTTGCAATTTTAGATAATGCCTTTGAAATTATTCCTTCAAAAATGTGGTTATGGCTTCTTATGGGACACAAAACTTACTACTTAATCAGCACACATGGAAAGAAAGGGATAAATGAAGGTTCTTGCATGCCTAGAATGAATCTCATTGTGTATATTTCATCTAAGACCTGCATAGTAACACCCTGAAGTTCTGGGGTTCAGGGCAGATACTTGGAAGGCTCTAGGTCTGGCATAATTTTTTTACTTGAGGAAGTGCCACAGTGAGAACTGGCCAGGAAACATGCCATTATTATGCTTTATGGGGGAGTGGGGGATACTATTCACATTTGCACTTAAGTACAGAGTTGTCAGTATTTGTCAATACTTAATTTGGAACATCAGCAAGAGTTAACATTTAGTGTTGAATGACTATTCATCACAAATAATTAGAAAAAATATTTCTTCTAAATACTCTCTAAATATAAACTCAATGTGGCTATTTTTATGTTTGAAATTATAACATCTAGATTTATTTCATGAATGATAATTTAAATATAATTTTTCCTGTAGGCCTAAAGATGTTGGAAGACCTAAAGCTGAAGTTGCTGCAGAATTTCTAAATGACAGAGTTCCTAATTGCAATGTAGTTCCGTATCCTTTTGACAAAAAATTATTTTTTTAAAGCTTTTGTTTTCTTCATTATAAAAGACGTTTAACATAGAGAATGTAGATAAAAAGAAAAAAAAGATCAGTAGCAGTTAGCTTATTACTGAAATATCTGCTGTTAACATTTTGCTTTATATCCTTCTAATCTTTTCTTTAAGGTTATGTGATTTTTTTTTGCCCTGATTTTTAAATTAAGCTTCTGTAGCCAGTGCCATCACTTATTTTGCATTATTGCCCTTAATTTCAGTGTCAGTTGCATATCTCCTGTACTAGACTGTAAGTTCCTAGGCTGGATCCAATTAATCTTTGTGTCTCCTTACAGTAGAAGACAATAGACAGTATGTTATTAACCAAATAGAAGGTGTCAGCATCAATTTATTTGATTAAAGTATATATTCTAACAGTGAACATGTTGAAGCTGAAATTTAAAATACAATGCCATTTGCAACCACTCAAAAAAACCTTAAGTGTAAATAAAATAAATATGAGATTTGTATGCTGAAAAATGCAAAATGCTGATGAAGGAAATTGGACAGTTCAACATAGTAAAGATGTTACTTCTCCCCAAATTTATGTCCAGGTTTAACACAATTTCTATAAAAATCTCAGGAAGTTTTTTTGTCGCTAAGGTTATTCTAAAATTGATGCTGAAAGAGAATAAAGTGAGAGGAGTTACTATCTAACTTCAGGACTTTATTATATAGTTACAGTAATCAAAACTGTGTAACTGTGTAGTATTACCAGAGAAGTAGACATAGATCAGTAGAACAGAATAGAGAAGCCAGAAACAGCCCTATGCAAATATGGCCAGTCGATATGTGACAAAGGTGCACAAACGATTCAATGGAGGAAAGTTAATCTCTTTAACAAATTGTGGTGAGCTATTGGATATACATAGGCAAAAAAATGAATTAACTTAATCCTCAAAATTATGAAGAGTAACTCAAAGTTGATCATATGTTTAAGTGTCAAATGTAAAACTAAAACTTTGGAAGATAACAGAAAATCTTTGGGACCTAGGGTTCGGTGAAATATCTTTAGACCACATCAAAAACATTCATAAAAGAAAAGAATTGATAAATTGAACTTCATCAAAATAAAAACTTTTGCTTGGTGAAGGACCCTGTTAAGAAGATGAAAAGACAAGCTGCAGCTTGGAAAATAACTTATAAAATAGGTATCTGACAAAGGACTTAGATCTAGAATATATAACTTTTAAAACTCAACAGTGAAAACAATGCAATTAGAAAATGGACAAAACCATAAAGGAATATTTCATGGCAGAAAGCACATGAAAAGATGTTCAATATCACTAGCTATAAGAAAAATCCAAATTATGACCACATTGAAATACTACCACTCACCTATTAGAATAGCTAAAATAAAAAATTTTAATAGTATCGAAAGCTGGCAAAAGCTGGCAAAGGTACAGAAAAACTGTATCACTCATACATTGTTGGTGAGAAATGTAAAATACTATAGCCAACTGGAAAATAATTTGTTTTAAAAATCTAAACATACACTTTCCATATGACCCATTAGTTTCATTCCTGGGCATTTATCCTAGAGAAATGAATACTTAGATTGGCATAAAAACTTTTTCTTAAACAGCTTTCTTTTCAGTAGTCAAAAACTGGAAACAACTACAACACCTGTCAATAGGTGAATTTTTAAACTGGTACAGCCGTACTATGGAATAATACTAAGCAATAAAAGTGTACTAACTAATAAAATATGTAACAATTTGGATGGATATCAGGGGCATTATGCTGAATGAAAAATGCCAATCTCAGAAAGTCATGTATTGTCAGATTCTATTTATATAACATTCTTCAAATGACAAAATTATAGAGATGGAGAACAAATCAGTTATTGCCAGGGATTAGACATGTTGCCAGTGGGGGAAGGGGTAGAGTAGCACTAAAGAGATCTTCGTAGTGATGGAGTGTTGTATATCTAGATTGTGGTGGTTATACAAATTTACACATGTTCAAATGACAAATATACACATTATACCAATGACACACTCGTGGTTTTGATATTGTACTAATTAATGTAAGATGTAACTTTTGGGGGAAACTGATGAAAGACACACAGGACCTCCCTGTACTATCTTCAGATTTCTGTGAATCTATATTATTTCAAAATAAAAAATTTAAAGATGCAAATACAGGCCTCAGTTGGGGAGAAAGAAAAAAAAAAGTATGCACACTCTGTCCTCATTACTTAGATCTGGGAAACTTTTGAGTATTTTATAGAAATCCAGGAGGTGAGATTTCTTGGTTGGCTCCTGGGTCCCCTTTTGCTCTTCCTCCAGTGTTTGCTCTGGTTCTCTTTTGACTTTTCTGTTCTAGTTGCAGCTTATGCCTCCTGTTTGCCTAGCATTCAGACAGGACAAATCTGAATGGGTGAGGGCTAGTACTGAGTTTATTTTTCATAGCTTTATTTGTAGGCCAAAATAAAAAATCTAGGACAGTGTATGTTGTATATGTCTTTTTTCTATTTTGCTTTAAAAAATAAATATATACATATATAATGGATTATTGTAATTTTAGAGA